AATAAAAAATAAAAAGAAGAAAAATATTTATTTTCTAATAAAATTTTTATATTAAATTGAAATTCGTGATAGATTAATAATGAAAATTAAACAAAATCTATACTGATTAAATATTAAGTTTAGATCATTAATAATATGATAAATATTAAAAAGAAAAGAAAAGAAAAGGTTTAAATTATTTGTTTAAAATCTGTATATTTAATATAATAATAATTCAATGTTAAATAGGTTCTTTGTCTTGGAGCTTGTGCAACAACATATACAGAAAGTAGTTTACCTTCAAATGTTTTTTCTGGTGCAACAGCATTTCCATTTTGGGATGATTTATATATATATCCAAATACATCACAAGGAATTTATTATCAATCAGAAGGAAATAGTCCAAATAGAAAATTAATATTTGAATATTATATGAGTCATTATATTGAAGTTAATCAATATTATCATTTTCAAGTTATTTTATTTGAAAATTCTCCAGGTATTGTTCAATTTATTTATTTTGATGCTACTGATCAAGGTGATACATGTACTATTGGTGTTCAAGGTAAATAAATCTAATTTTTTTCATTTTTAATTTATTATTTTTGTTAAGGTTCATATACTGGTCCATTCATGATGTATTCATATGATCAATCTAATTCTGTTCAACAAAATATGACTATTACTTTTGATACAAATAAAGGAACATATAATAAATCTACAATAACATAATTAACATATTATTTATAATATTTTATTTATTTTTTCTTTCATTTATCATCAATATATAATCACATTGATTTTATTTTAATTTACTTTTCTTCTTTCTTGTCTAGGATTTTATTTTCGATAAATATTATCTTATATTATATAACATTTTTATTTTATTGAATTTGTTTATTTAAAATAAATTGAACTTGATTAAAAGAGAGAGAGAAATTGAAAAATATTTTACTATATTTTATTTATATTTATTTATTTATATAATAATAATAATAGATTTATCAAATAATTGAATTAAATAATTAGATAAAAGAAAATTTTTATTTATTTTCGATATATTCAATATTAACAAACAAAATAAGACAAACAGATTTAAATAAATAAACAATTTATTTAAATTGATTCAATTATCGAGATTTTTCTTTTTCTTTTTTCTATGATTTAATGTTTCGAAAGTTTTCAAAAAATAATTTTAAAATCTTATCTTTTAAATAATTCATTATTATTCAATACATTTTTTATTCTATTAAAATTTTTTCATTATTTTCATAAATCTAACAGAATAAATATAAGAGAATAGAATATATTTTGTTTTTTAACAAATAAACAAATAAATAATAGTTCCATTATTTAATTTAATAGATTTATAATTAAGATTTTAATTTTCAATTATTAATAATATCGATGTTAATTTAATTATTTAATCAATTCATTTTATTAGAAATTTATATTAGTTTATTAGAGACGCATCAATAATTATTATTTATATGCACAAATAAAAATAAAAACAAAAACAAAAACAAAAACTCTAAGTAATTTAAACAAATTAACATTTTTATTGATTGATTTTTATACTGTTGATCATCGTTAGTCTTTGTTAATACTAAAGATACAGAATCTATTCGTATGTGAGAACGTGCGTTTGGGAAAATTTTTCGAAAAAGATATTTCTCTAAAGAGAAATCATTAATTGAATAAACAGTTTTTCTACCTTGTTTATCCTTTGTTTGTCTATAATATTATAGATCTAACACACATTTTCTCCCATTTCCATGTTCATAATTAATCTCTGAATGCCTTTTTCATTTTCCTATGCCGTCTTTCTCTCACTGCTGTTTATTGTTATTTATCTTTTTTTAAACGTTACCCTTCATCAGTATCACATACCCTGGAATTTGGATAAGTGCTCAAATCTCTGCTGGGAGATACAATCCCCACTGTGAGTGATGCATATATCTCAATGATATGATATATCTCCAACAGAAAATCACCGCATTCTTCCGAGTGTGAATGCCGCGTCTCCTGTGATAAAAGTGATAACTTTTCCAAAATCTTGTATATTTGACATAACTTCTTTTGATTTAAATTATCAACGAATATTCATGTAAAGGCAAAATAATATAAAAATTTCATAGTAGTAGATTATTTTACAGCAGAATATAATAAAGTAATAATATAAATTGAATAGTCTCTAGTTAATGAAATTGATTATAATATATATTAAGCAATCTATCTCATTTATTATCTATAATAAGTTATTTGCCTATAATTCTTTAATAATTTTTTCTCTCTCAAAAGAAAACTATTGTTTAGAAAATAATTTAGACGAATAAGAAGATCATTGAATTTCTGTTACTGATTTGTGATAAATCTAAAAGGTTTGAAACTTTTTAGCAATAGTTTATCTCGAAATAAAGAGATTGCTAAAAATTAGAGAAATATTTCACCGAAATTGACCTGTTTAAATGTAAAATACGTTGGTTAAATAAATAAATTCTCAAATAATATCTCAAAGACAATTTCGAGAAAGGTTATGTGAAAAAGTCTAATAGAAAATGAATAATCTTGTATTATTTTAGAGAGTCTAATCTATTTGAATGATTAAAAATTGTTTCTATTTATTCTATATTGATAATATTCATTTATTAGATTTTATTCGCAGAATAATTTATTATAATAACAATTATTTTTGTTTCTTTTACGTCGTGATCGTTTTTTGATACAATAACTGATAGCTTGTTTTTTATCAACATTCTTTAACAAAGAAACTCTTTTCTCTTTTTTTTTTTTTTTATGTGAGGAAATTTTCCAAAAAACTTTTGCCATTTTGGGAAATTTTTCATTTTTGCTTCAAACTCTGCAGCCCTGGTCAACATTGACACTTTCTCTCCATCATTGTTTTTCTGTAATTACTCTGTGATATTATCATTATTGTGATATTGATAAATTTGACTAATAGACGTGTACAATATTCTAAATGAATCGGTCAATGATGAATAATGTTTAAAAAAGTGAACATTTATTTGAACATCAAATATAAGAATTATAGAAAAGTTAACATTTACAGAACAATGTGTCGATTTGAAACGTAGATTAAAAATGTTTTTCGAACAATTGAAATTCTATTCTATATTAACAGTAAAACCAAGCGAGGAACAACTGACTTTATTATTTAAATAATTTAAATAATTTAAATGATCTACGTAATCTAAATGAGTTTAAAGTGATAAAAGTTAATTTATTTTCTCTTAGATTCTGTGCAGCATGTTCACTGTGACTGTTGAGTGTTCCGTCAGGCTAATAAAAAATGCAAATCATTTTCCATTGTCTATCTATTATCGACATTTATATAAACACAAAGATCATCAAAAATTAAAATCGAAATTAAAATGCAATCTGGTTCATTATTATGCGCATTATATTTTTGAAACTCAAAAAATCGTCATCATCAAAATCAACAACTATGAAAAATAATCAGACATTATTGATTTTCTTATTTTAATTTGTTCATTCACTCTAAATACGTATCATTCTCACTGAATTGTGTATATTCAAAGATACTCTATGATAAACTCATATATTATACAGAAACTGAATAGTATCAATATAAATGACATATAAGGAATAAAATTCATCTACTGAACCATGTTCGGTATTATATTTTATCTAGAAAGACTCAGTGAACCTAAGAAAATCGTAATAAGATTCACGACCATAATCTATAAACCAACAGTTATGATTGTTTTACTGAGATTCTGATATATCCGTTGAAATATTGAATTTCAAAAACTAAAATCTTAAATTCTTATTCAAAATACGTTTCATAGACATGATAATACTCTAAAAATTTTAGTTAACAAAACTATTGCTCTATTAAGATAGTAAATATTCATGTAAACTTGGTTTAAATACGAGACCGTTGACATATAATTAGGTTTTGAACTTCCAACATCACAACGAAAGAAAAATAAAGTTGCCGTTAATACTTTTAGAGAGCTATATGAACTATCAAAGTTGTCTAAGAACAAAATTTCAGATGTAAAATTGACAACCCAACATTTCCGATGAATATATCTATGGATAAGCACGAAATTTAGCTAAGAAGTCCTAAAATTTGACCTAAAGGAGATGGTCACGAACAATGATCAATTTAGGTTTCTGTCAGAGATCGAACGATGAGTAAAAATGAATTTGAAGGCCTATTCAATATAGTAAAAACTATTTTTTTGTTCGTTGTTGAAAGTAAAAATTCTGACTGAAGGAAGGATTACTTCATTGTCTTTCTATCTAAAGTTGTTACTGGTCGCGAGTTAGGCTAAAGTTTTCTTAGTTTGACTGAGTTCCAGTCATAACCAGAATATGAAGTCGAATATCATCTTATAGCTGACCATGTTTCGCTGTTGGTCTCGTTGTGTACTCAAAAAGTTCATACACTCTAGAATCGGTCAGTGTGTCCGGTCGACCGGCCGTTTACAGGATAACTTTTGAAAAGAGAGTCTGATCGCGATGGAATTTTCTACATAGTTCAGTCTTAACAATATCTTGGTCGAGTTCGAAGATGAGAAGAATTAGCCGAACCGTTCCTGAGTTATTGCAAAAATACTCATTTTTCCCTATGGCTTCCTAATGCGAAAATCGATCCACCCCCGCTTTCGTAAAAACATTTTCCTATCATACTCAAACAAAACCCCAACTATTATATACCATTCTATAGAGAATTTTACGAGCTACAAAATGGTATATAAAACATAAAGAAACACGAAGGCTAACTCACCTATTGCCAAGATAATCAAACGGAAATAGGTTCTGTTCTTGTCCACGCTCTAACTGATCCACAAATGAGAGCACTATCTTCCGATAAGAAGTCATGCTTGAAGATCTTCTGGGATGGAGAACTCGAATCTGTACTCTACTTGTTTCGAA